GTGGTTTTTTTTTCCCGTTCTCGAGTTTTTCCACGTAAAACTCTTGTGTGCTTTTCTGGTAGCTTTGATTATGCTTCTCTGTTTAAATTTTTATTTTGGTTTTCTCAAATTCTATGATTCTATTCCACGACGAAATTAAAAGGAGAATCTGATTTGAACTACCTTTTATTCTAACACATCCATCTTTTTTGTTGCCATCCCACCAAGATTTAGGCTTTGATACCAATTTGATATGCTATGAAATTAAAATCAGAAAGCAATAACAACAAAACTGCAATAGATAGATGGAAATAATTCCAATAAGGGCTGCTCTTATGAAATTTAAATAAAAACAAGCAACATACTAGACGTCTCTAGGAACACCACACGAAGAAGAAAAACACAGCAACCCACAAAAACATATGCATAAAAAAAGCACAAATCCTAGGTCCACCCCTTAATAGAATCCTCCCACAATATTTCAAAATTTCCTTCCCAACTTTCCCTCCTAACTCCTTTAATCTCGCCTCCTTGAGTATGTGATTAAGGGTCCGTTTGGGGGAGCTTACAAGCGCAACGGTGTTTTAAAACGCCGTCTCGCTGTTTGATTTGCGCGTTTAACATGTGTTTTACCTAATGCATTAAACGCTGACCGCGGTATTACCCCTGCGTTTCGCGTTCCCATATCAGTCTATTACCTCCCTGACCTCGCTACCCAATCGTCGCCGTAGAGGATCCTCTATCGAGCGCTCCTCCTTCATCGCTCCCCCGCCGAGAAGCTGCTCTCCCCTAGTAAAAAATTCTTCTCCTACCTCCTCTCCTACCTCCTCTACCTCATTTGGTCGAAAACCTGCTCTAATATCACGGTGAAGAAATGCCCTAGTTTATGAACATGTAGGATTTGGTTTGATCTTTCTATTTTTCGTGGTGGTGTGTGCAACTCGAGCATAATGCATCAAGTACAAGAGCTTATTTCCCTCCAGACGAGTTTGTTTGCTTCTATTAAGTTGATTTATTTTAAGATATCTGTAAGATATTTTTTTCGATAGATTTTATGGCTATTTTTTCTTATTAGAGATTTTTTTTTCAGGAAAAACTTGATGCTTAAGATTTTTTATTTTTAACTCTCATGTCATTTTTTTTTTGAAGGTATTTTTCTCCAAATCATGATATACTATAACAATAATTATATCAAAATATACTATTAATATGATGGACTTACAATCTTTGAATTTGTATAACAAAGTGATTAGAGTGAGCCTGTATGAATCTCTACTGACTTGTAGCTTTTGTGAAACTGTTAAATCAGGCTTGAGGTGCTTGTTTGAAATCATTAATAGGTTTACTACAACTTCTAGAATTGTCTTTTTGAAGTCATTAATCCTTAGAGGAGGGTGCATATAATTTTCCTTATCTAAGTTAGCATTCAAAAATGGATTTTTATAATCCAATTTGTGAATCGATCAATCGTATTGGCCCCTGTTAGTAATATGGTGCAACTGCAGTCGTATTGGCCCCTATTAGATGTATAGATATTTGCTTAGAAGGTGGAGAAATAACGTCAGGTGACCGCCATGCCTTACGTGCAAAGTTAAACCCCAAGATCGGGCAGCAAGGGTACACCCAATAGAATATCCAAGCAGATCCTATTCGAGGAAAAACGAATTTAAAGTAGAGAAAAAGTGAAGACTACCAGCACCACAAAACCCATCATAGCAGGAACACACTTTAAGTGCCATGATTTTGGACATATTGCTTTCGATTGCTCAAATCGGAGGGTGAATTTTTTCACTGATAAGGGAGCAATTAAAGAGATGCCAGCGACACAAGAGAAAATGAAGATGTCGTAGAGGTGTATTAGTTTCTAGTCAATGAGGGAGAGATGCTGGTGATTCAAGCTGAGCCCATTAGAGAGACTTTAGCAGGACTAATATTGGTTGCCTTAGAAGGTAGTGAGTTCGAGGAGCTAATACCAAAAAACCGGCAGCTACTGCTGAGTGATTTGCCAAATATTGTGATTGACATTTACCACCTAGGTGGCTACCGCCGAGAGATTCAATATGCCATAGACCTCGTTCAAGGATTTTTTGTTATGCTAAACTAAATCGCATATGAGACAGCCAGTTGAGTTTGAGAAGCTGCAAAATCATGTTACACATTTGATAGTTAGAGGCTTGGTTCGTAATAATGTCCGTTTATGTGCAGTTTCAGCTCTGGTTGTGCCAAAAAAATGACTATTTAGTTTATCAGGATAGACTTTGGAATGGTAGATGTGTTTCAGAGCTACCTGGGATGAGTGTGAGCATATATTTTGTAGTGGAGTTGCCTTAGACAAATCAGGATAATGACTTTGTTATGATGATGATAAATTTATTTCAAAAGCTACCAGTGTAGAAGGCGAGGCCTTTTTTAATGTTGATATGGGCCCAAGGTGCAAACATAGGCGAAGGAAGAGGACGCGACAGGGAGAGCAAAATCGTGTTTGGTGCGAAGCGGGAGCTGGACCACAATCTCGTGATTGTGGGATGTCGTGAATTGACCCGAGCAGTCATCTGATCCGGGAATAGTTTCAACTAGGTTTTTTGTTCTCATTTGCTGTCACAAGCTCAGTGGACCTTTATTTTCTATTATTTATTTCCAATTAGGTTACATTCTTTGAAAGGTATTTATGATACCGTAGTTAACCCAAAATATAATGAAAATAAAAATTTTATTGTTGAAATTAAAATAGGTTACAGCGGTGACTTCTTAACTTAAACAATGCAAATATGCAATTGGAAGGGACAATGACAACACTGCGAAAAATAAGAAAGGAAGTAACACAAAATACATAACCAACTCTCTAGAGGGGAGAGCGGCAGTTCCGATAGGACCAAAAGGGAGCGGCGATAGTGTTGGAAGATAACGAGCAACAAGTGGTGGCTGTGTTGGAAATGGTTGGCACCAACAAGAAGAGGGCTGGAGGTCTGGTTGGCAACTGGGAAGGGTTGGGAGGCCTGTGTGGTAGCTTGAAGGGGACTGGAGAGGGGCTGCGATGGACCTAGACGTTAGCAGGCATGTGGTGGTGGCGGTCTAGACGACAGCGGGAACAAGTGTCCAGAGGCTGGACAGCAGTTGGACGAAGTGAGGGTGGACTGGATAGCCGCAGGAAAAGGTGTCGGTGGGTTGGGCAGCAGTAGGAGTGGGCCCTAGAGGGGCTGGCGACAACAAGAACTAATCTAGAAGGGCTTGGCTACAACAGGAAATAGCTCGGAGGCCTAGACGACAGCAGGAAGATGGCTAGAAGGTGGTTTGTCGCTGCTAGAAGCGGTTGGAGGCATGGACAACAACTAAGAAGTTGGTTTGCGGCGGCTGGAAGCGGGGTCGGAGGGGGCTCTCGTCGGAGGTTGAACTGCAGTCGGAGCACCACTCGAACCCTTAGAGATGGTCATCACCTCGAATAAGCTGCAGCTGGAGCTTCTTTTCGTCTTCGGGTACAACCCCCAGAGTGGAAGAACACCTCAAAGTCAGCGACTGAAATCAACAATCATCCAAAAACCTCCACACCCTAGGCAAACACATCATAATATAAAGTATCCTAGCACAAAGAAATAGGAAAGAATTTGAAATTTGGATAGAAGTGGAAGGTGGTAGAAAACATAGGCAATGAAAATGGAGAAATTAGAATTGGAAAGAAATAGAAAAGGAAAGCAGTAGAATATGAAAAAATTGGAATTGGATAGAAATAGGAAAAGTGATGGAATAGGAAAGGAGAGGGAGAGGGAAGGGTTGTCCTGCGGTATTGTAGGCTATAGCAGCTACAATACCATGACCCGACAAGCTCTTTCTTCAATTTATATTGTTTTTTTTTTTAATTTTTTTATTTTGTTATTTTAGAGAACTTTAGCTTGATTTTGTGTTTGTTGGTGATTTTTATCTCTGTTTTTTAACTTAAGGACTATTATATCATTTTCTTTTTGTAAGTGATGTACTTGTAGCTTGTGTAGGAACAAATGGTGAATCTCCTCGTCGTCCATACGTCATCATTTCGGAGTTCTCTTTGTTATTTTCAGCTAGGACAGCCGTCAAATGATGCTTACTCCCGTCCAACATTGCCGAACTCATTATCATTCCCTTGCTATATCATAAACACTTTCCTGCTAATTCCTCTTCCTAAACACCTTTAGGCTCTTTAGAACGTTGTCAATGGGAACTTTGGATGGATGATTTAATATGTTTAAGATTGTTATTTTAGGCGAAAAATTATTTTTAAATGAAAATCAATCTGTCAATTCCAAAAATTAAACATAATTAAACATTTGATAACATAGAAAAAAGCATAATTTAAGTTACTAGAAGTTGTTAGCTGCTATTCTTTGGAGATTTTTGTGAGCCATATAAATGATTAAAAAATTGTCATTATTAAAAGTTGCTATTGATCCTATGAAAGGGGATATACATCGCAATGATAAGATAAATTTGGAGACGACTTTTTGAGACAAATTATCGTCAACTACCGAGCGATAAAATGATCTTCACCCTTATGTTTTACTAAACTTGAAAATATGATCAAACACTATTGCAATGAATTTGGAGGGATAAAAGGAAAAATGCATGTTTATGATACATTAAGGGTGACCATTATAAGAGAAAATATTACATCTGGACTCCGGCTGTCCGAACAACGGCCCAGATGCAACGGAGGAGAGGAGGAATCGGACCTCCGCCCTCGCTGCATCCGGGCAGCTCTCCGGACATCCGGAGTCCGAATGTAATATTTTCTCCCATTATAAACTAGGATTGCATTAGTCATAAAATGTTCACTTTATAATTGATCTTGATTGTGACATGTTCAAATTTCGGCGGACAATGCCAATGCGTTGCTACTTTTTATGTGCACCGTAGAAGTTGAGGCCTGTAAAATTCTATGCATATTAACAAGTAGCGAAAATATTGCAGTCCTTCAACTTAATTACATAAATTAATGCGAGCTCTCGGCATCATCAATATGTGTTAATTCACATGCAACTCCGTTTATTCAGGACCTTGGCAGGTTATGCTTAAACAAGCTGATGGCTCCTATGCCTGCATTGCAGAAAGTGCTACTCGGTTTACGCTCGGGGAGGTAAAACTCTCCTATTTCATAAAAAAATAGGGAAATTTACATACATTACCACACAATTCTTATGTATTTACATATCTAACACCAAAAGTTTGATATTTACACTTGCAACACCTTAGTGTCATAAAATTGTGTATAAACAGGTGTATTTCAATTTTAAAAGGATAATGATCATGGTATCTTTGATGTGACTTTAATGATTTGAGTGATATGCTTGTAAATATGAATCTTTGGGTGTTAGATATGTAAATACATAAGAATTATGTGGTGTGTATGTTAAAGCGCCTAAAAATAATAATATTTCATTTTCGAATCTTAGTATTTATCCAGTAATTCACAATTATAGACAAAAGAAGAGCTTTTGATGGTCCTTGGTTTGAAAGAGGAGGAAGGAAGCTCATTGGAATTTCTTAGAAGGGGATACAAGGTTTGGTGCCTACTTCTTACTAGTTATTTATAATGTTTATTTATTTTTTGAAAGCTAGATGATAATCAAACTCCTTGGATCTCAGCATTTGATTATTCCACAAGTAGGGCTGTCAAAACTGTTCATTGTTCTCGAATAGTTCATGTTCGGCTCATTCGCTAAGTTAACGAACCGAACACGAATAAAGATTTGTTCGTTCGTGTTCGGCTCATTTTGGCTTGAAATACTACTCATCAATTATATATATATATATATATATATATATATATATATAAGTAGTACTTTTAAAAAAAAATTAATTGACTACAATGCTATAAAGATTTATAATCAATTGAAAGTATTAATTATGAAAATAGAATAAAAATTCTTAAATTAGATTCAAATGATGTTTTAATATAAACAATAATTTTTAAATCTTGCCCCAACCCTTAACATATTACGACTACGTGATTAGGGTTGTCAAAACAACTCTTTGTTCGTGAACAACTCGTGTTCGGCTCCCTAAGCAAACGAGTCGAACACGAACACACTTTTTGAGCTCGAAATATAAACGAGCCGAACATGATCCGAGCCTTGGCGTGTTCGTCTCGTTTACACCTCTATCCACAAGTTTATATCATGCAATATTGTGTATCTTCAATATTTTAATCATATTTACTGTTTCTAATACCATTGCATGAGATCAATCTTTCACAAAATCTATTTTTTTATCTTCATCACTAAAAATGCAACAGAAAGGAAAAAGATGAACAAAATAATGCAGTTTTTTGTAGATTATGCAAGGAAGCCATGCTCTGCTATATTCCTATAGCATGTCTTGCTAATCTGTGTTTTACATCTTGCTTTGTTGATGCAGAATGCTACTTGGTGGGAAGAGGATGTGGAGTTGGAGCTCTCCTCTAACTGGCGGAGTTGATTGACCGCGACGATAATTGGTATGTTAGCATTTAATTGAATTTTTATTATCTATGCTCCAATCTAGAAATAAATCTTGTTTTGTAGAATGAATAGACTAAGTTTTAACTTCAATAGGTGCATTGTGCTGATGTTACAATGTAAAGCAAAGTCGGCAATCCAACGCATTGTATATTTCACTTTTAAGAATGAAAATTTAATTTTTTTTATGCGATATTTAAGATTCAAATGGTTTGGATATAAATATGCAAGTTTATATTTTAGATATACATAAGAAAAATGTTTGCCTGATAAAGTCTTGGGGAGGGGGTTCAGGGCTGTGTTAATAGTGAACTTTTTACAATAAAATTGAAAAAATAATGTTCCTTATAGTGGGCCCCACTCCTCTATCAAATAAATCAAATCAGTGTATTACAGTGGGGCCCATTTGACACGTGCTATGTGTCCGCTGGACTCCAGACACAAATTTATTTCCGGTGTCTTGCTGGAATAATCTCTCTTAGCATGGAGGGACATTGATTGTTTGCTATTACACTCCTAATTAAAGAGTCCTGCATTGTCGTACAAGGACATGCTCGCCGACTTATCATCACAAACATGTATCAGACATGACATCGATGAAAGTGTGAGACACGTGCCTTAAATTAGTGAAAAATCCAACTCGTGTTATTGCTATATACATAAAAATTTGTGTTAAATTTTGTTCTTACTTATTAACACAAACCTCAGTATTATAAATTTATATAAGATAAATATATATATGCTTATATATATATATATAGATTATTTACAAAATAGTAATATGTTAATATAATATTGAATATTTGAGTGTTATGCATGTTACATATGATTGTTTTGATTTTAAATGTCTACATAAAAAAAATTTTTGTTTTGTAAAATATGTCCCAAAAATTAGTTCATAATTGTTAAACAAAACCGAAGGCGAATATATGTAAACCAACAAAGTTAATAAATAAGAAGAATGACATTAAAGTGAATTGCAGGCCTTTATACACAAATTTATCTTTCAAGGTGAAGTCAGCTTCGCCTTCACCGAAAATTATATGAATTAAAATACTTTAATGGATGAAGTTTGCGGTGGATTGTAATTTAAAAATGGCTACAAATACGTCAAATTGTCGCTTTAAATAATTATTTAATCTTGAGTTTTTTAAGGGTACTTTTTGGGCAGCTTGTGCGTTTCAGGATAAGCAGCTTATCTTAAAATGTGGCCAGCGGGCCGACCGCGGATGTCGACCTGCGGCCTGTGTTTAGTGTAAAAATAAAACAGCGTTTTTGGATAAACAAGCAAAACACGCGACTTAAATGGTACTGCGGCGTTTTTAAAAATATCCCCGCACTTATAAGCTGTTCCAAACGAGCCCTAAATTTGAACATTAGTATTCATGAACAACTCAAATGTGTCCTGATTTTCTTTTAAAAAAGAAAATCTTTAAAATAACGTGTCCAAACCTGTTTATTATAAGTATTATCATGTTATCATATCGTCTATATTATTTTAATGCACCGCACCCAAACTAACAGCCAAATTAATCCCATGTGTATATAGAGATTATTTTAGTTTTAGCATTTATAAAATTGTCAAAAAAAGCTTCCAAATTTTTTAAATTAAAGTTGAAATAATCTTTATGGAGGACTATTCATGAAATTTTGAGGAAAAAAACCTAGTTGAGTATTATCTTGACACTTAATAAGAAATTGCTTCTGTTTCATGTATCTATAATAATTATGATATTTAATGAAGAACAAGATTATTGATACGTCATCAACAAATTCTCATTATCTGACACGAATCTCAAGGCATGACATAGATTTTGAGATATCTTTTGTGCAATAAATGTTCAAATTTTGATAAAAAATCATCTAGAACTCGATTTTAGCAAACTTAGAGTCACACTGAGTTGTTCGATGAGACTAGACTCAATGATATCAAATTTAGTCTAATCCGAGTCAAATTAAGCTTAGATCGAATCATTAAATCACTCTTAGAAGTATTTCAAACATATTTAGAAGGTCAAATGAATGTCGAATCTGACAATCATATAGTCAAATTGAGCGTCTCGAAAAAATGAATCCAGCGAGCCCATGATTGCTCAATTTCGACATCGTTAAGACACTCAATTTTTCATCAAACGCCATCCGATTGAAGGAAGCTCTCCGGACCGTCCATCAAAGTAGTTCATATTCTTGTATTAATTGCACCATAACATTATTATAGCCTCACCCCGCCTTACTTTCACTCTTATGATATCATCCGAGATGAGCTACGACGCATGTTTCGGGAAGAGTTCCCTCTGGATAAAAGGGACTGCTTTCTTGCTTGCAGAAACTTCCAAGCATTCTCTCCTTTGGCTTATGTGGTTCTCTGACACCCTTTTACTACAGGTTTCAAACTCACAAACATTGATGCCTATGAAAGAGTAACTGACCTATAAGAGCACACCAACCACTATCAAACCATCATGCACATTCATCGTGCTTCTGATGTGCTTCTATGTCAAGTGCTCCTGACGACTCTCAAGGGTCAAGCTCGCGCACCGTTATACTCTCTCCTTGGGTCACTATCAACACATTCGATGAACTTGTCATATTATTCTTAAAGCTGTTCATAACAAATAGAATGATTATCAAAGATTCATCTCACTTATGGGGAGTTTGCCATAATAAGAGAAAATCCCTCAAGGAATACTTCCGTAGGCTCTCCACCCATCAGATTCCTGAAGTAAATCTGGAGTTACTGAGAGGAGTCTTTCTCAGAGGGCTCAACCCAGGACATTCTTCTTTAAGAACTCTTTAATTATAGGCATTATTCTTTAAGAAATGTTATTGAGTTGTATTTTGGAGTTCTAAAAACAAGATTTCAAATCTTTAATAGAATGTCTCCTTACGATTTGCACACAAAACATTAAATTATAATTGTTTTTTGCACATTGCATATATTTATGAGACATGAAAATTAAAAAAAATTTAATAGTTTATACAAAAAAAATTATCTACATCAATTCCTATATCACAAAGTGTAATCAAATCAAATGTTTCTCAGTCTAAGTTGCAATACACGACTCTCTTTCAAGGTCGTATTACCAGAGAACTCTGGAGTCACACACAAAACCGAGTTTAGACATTAGCTTGTAACCTTTTTTTATATTTATCTTACAATGTTAAAAATGTAATGTTAGTTTTTTTTATGTTATTTTTATGTTAATGTTATAAATTCATTTGCCTTATTATCCAACATATTTTTTTATTTTGGTGTGAAGCCCTCATGAGTTTATGCGTGGACAGCTCGGCTTACATGCAAAAATAGATGATTTGTATGTACCACATCCTTATATTCGCGTAATTTTTTATAAAAAATATATATTTTTTTAAAAATTTTTAAACATAAAATATATGACCAAACATTTTTTTTTTTGTTCTACTTTTGAAAAAAAGAATATCATAAAAGTATCAAATATGTTTTTTAAAAAAAATAATAGAAAAAAAAAAAATGAAAGTGATCCTAAACATACCCTAAACTAAAGCTAGCAATTCAGTTTCACTTTTAGATGGTTCATTTTCAATTTGAGATTCGTGCATTTGGTTTGGTTCAACTCCATATAATTTATATGATGTGGGATTAAAATGAAAGTGCAATCTTCGAGTAGAAAAATCATTACCAGCGGACACCACACTTAAAATTTGTTGATGTCCGATCTGAATCATCAAAAATTTAGAATGGGACCCATGCTAACATTAATAAGAGCTCTAATTCACGCCTAATTTTTCTGTGCGGACTCCTGACGTAGCTCTACGTACGGCAGATGTTATTCATGAGTTATTTTTAGTTTATTTTTTATTTTTTCAATAATTATGAAATAATTCAGAAATAACCCGCGCTTTATTTTTTGGTTATTTATGAATTATTTCAGGAGCATTAAAAATAATCAAAAAATAATCTAAAAATAATTCAGAAATAATTCCCGCCGCACGTTCAGCCTGCTCCGGACAGAAAATGTGCTCCTAATTCACAGCACTACTCGCTCCTCATGTGATGCCCTATCCCTCCTCTCAAAAACAGCCCAAAACTCGTCTACAGCGTTGCCCTCCATCGCCTCCTTCATCTTCCTCGCACACCAACCAGCTTTCTCTCTCATCTCCCTCCTTTTCTCCCCACCACCCACCAACTCCCCTATCACCCTCGCCACCTCACTCCCTTCCACCTCCTCTTCCCCCCTCACCATCTCTACCCCCACCTTCAACTCCTCCACCACCATCTTCGCATTATAGAACTGCTCCGCAGCAAGAGGCCAAGCGATGATCGGAACCCCGCTGTTCAAGCTCTCCAGCACTGAATTCCACCCGCAATGGCTCACGAACGCTCCCGTCGCCTCATGCGACAGTATCTCCAGCTGCGGCGCCATTTCCATCACCAACATCCCCCTCCCTTCTCTTCTCATCCGCTCCTCAAACCCTACCGGAAGCCATTCGGGTCTGAACTCCTCGTTCACGTCGAACCCTAATGGCGGCCGTAGCACCCATACGAACGGCTTTCCGCTCTCTTCAAGCCCTCGGGCGAGCGCAATCATCTGCGTTCTCGAAATGCTGTTCTGTGTCCCAAACGAAACGTACACCACTGATCCAGCCTGCTTGCCCGCAAGCCATTCGACGACTCGCCCCGCCGATTTTCCGATCTTTCTCCCTTCCTTCAGCTGAAGCAAAGGGCCGATGGCGTGTACGGGGAGACCCGTGATTTTCCTCAGCAGATCCATTCCGGTTGTTTCGACCTCCTCTGCTGTGTTGCAGAGCATCACGTCGGATCGGAGGCAGAAGCTAATCTGCCGGCGGAAGAAGGCGGTCCATGGATCCCGATCATCGGCGACGCGAGCGTAGCTCGAGAGCTGGGATCGGTGGATGACGAAATCGTCCGGGAAGCCGGGGATGTGAAATTCCGGCGAGGGGGTTTTGGTGTGGGGGAGATGAAGCCAGAAGGAGAAGTAGGCAGCGGTTCCGTATGCGCCACAGGTGGTGAAGACGGCATGGCATGCTCCGATTGAGCGGGCGAGATCGACGGTCCAGGCGACGAATGCATCGGCGATGATACAGTGAGGGGGGGTTTCGAGATCGGAGAGGAGAGCGGCGAAGTGGGGGCGGAGGGACTCGCCGGAGTGGTAGAAACGGACGAGATCATGTTTGGGGACGGAATCGGTGTTCTCGGCTCCGGCGGGGAGAGAGTGATCGCAGGAGGAGTAGGGGAGGGTGGCGATGTGGATGCAGCTGTCGATGTGGTCGTCGGAGAGGGAGGAGTGGAGGTTGCGGGCATTGATGGGAGTGGTTGCGAGGGTGATGGTGAGGGAAGGGTGGTGAAAAATGAGGCTGCGGGCGAGGGAGAGGAAAGGGATGAGATGGCCTTGTGCCATGAATGGGAGCATGACGATGTGCCGAGGTTCGCCGGCCATGGCTGGAAGAGGAAACGAATGAGGAGGAGGAGGAGGAGGAGAACAGAGTTTTCGCTTGCAGTACTGAAGAGGTAGTCGGTGGTAACTGACCTTTTATAGGCTTTGCGGCAGGTTTGGCTCTTGGGTGTGGCTCATTTACATGCAGGACACATGTAAGATTGATATTTATAAATTAACCAGCAATTTTTTTTTTTATTATATTTTAAGCACGCGATGCCGTCCCGTCTTTTTCCACGTTACCGCTCGGCCTCGCCCCCACAAGCAATCTGGCTCCCGTTTTTTTTTTCTACTTGGCTCCCCCACACATTTGGATATGATTTTTGTTAGCTTTTGCTTCCTTCCTCCCTCCCATATCTTCTTCATGAATTTACTCGATGAGCCGTATGATTCTCACAGAGAAAAATTTTTTTCTTCCGGATGTTCACATACATAGCATAGCATCGGTGAGTTCCTTTTTTTTCTCTATTCTCGGTGGCTACAACCCCAATATTTCTTTGTGCTTTGCGATTTTAATCATTTTTTTGGTCTTTGGTTGATGCATGCTTAGCGCCGGTTCCGACGTTGGTTTTACTTTTTTTTATATGATTACATACCTATCACCCTAAAGGGTTTGACATTTTTGCTTCCAACGTCTTGTGTTGATTTATGATATATGAGTGCAAATTTGAGAAATGCTTGGAGCGATATATGAACTCAATATTTCGGCGAATGTGTATTTCATTAATATGGATTGAGTTTTCATAAATAAATGGTGATATTTGAGTGTATTGAGAAAATGATGATACATGATGGTGCATTTGTTAATAGCAAGTTTAAAGTGTTGTGTACGTTATGAATATTGAGTGGGAACTTTGGATGCAAGCTGATTTTATCAGCAATGTTTCGGTTGCTCCTTTTTCAACGGGGATTTTAGAATGTCTCGGTACATTTTTTATTTATTGTTTAGGGAACTTTACAAGCCCAACACACAATGCTTATGTGCTTACATTCATGACATTTGCATCAATAGTTCAAAGTTTGAAGAATGATGGTAGCCGTATCGTGCGTATTTTTCTGCTTCACCATTTTTTCCATATATTCAGGATGTTGTAACGATATTCATTTTAATGTGGTTTTACATATTTGAGTGTTGTGTGCATAAATATTCAAATTATTATGTGAGATATGTAAATTCAGTTGAATTGCGTGTTGTGTACCTAAATGGACTTTGTTGGATGATTGGATTATGTAAGGTTGGTGTATGCTAGTTGGATGAAATTTCACTATTGAACCGAAATAGAAAAAATGCCAACACAATTGAACTGACTGTTCTGCTTCAAATTACAGAAGTAAGGCAACATCTTAAAGTATCTAGGGGCCACCAAAAGGCCCAAACCACTAGTTTTAATTGAACCTTTATGGCACGTGTCGCATAGCTATTTAGGCAGAAATTATTTTCCACCGTTCAAATAATTAAAAAAAAAAAAAAAAAAGTTAAAAACGGGGTCCACCAAAGTACTTCATTGCAGTAATCGATGGTGTAGATCGGACAATGCGGTGTCCGTATGGAATAATTTTTCCAATTTAGGACACCCTAAAATCTGAAAATTATCAATATATAATGAAAAACTTATTAATTTTGTCTATATAATTTAGGCAATTTTCCTAATAATTTTGCTCTCCAAGAAAAAAAAAAATCAATATTTAAATCAAAATAACAAATATTAATACTTTAACAGATACCAACCATCCCATCATTTACAATGAGTCATACATATTATAGATAGAAAAATACAACATTATAGGCCATGGGACTCAATAATACATACCCAAATACAGATCTATAGTTTACAAAAGCTTTAACGACATACATGAAATTCTTACAAAAAAAAAATCTATCCTCTATGTATGCATGTATGTATGAAAGCAAAAGAATCCTAAATCGGCAATCACCATCCAATGACTTCTATGACTTTCACTAGACACCGCTAAGTAACTGATATTATAATCGCATGCCTTGTGTTTGTAGTTTATCATTGAGCGCATAATGTCACGGACAAACTTCTCACAGGTACCCGTGCGGCTTTAGCGTTGTTCATAAGCATTAAATCAACCTAATACCTGCAAAGCTCGGACTTAGATGCACAAAACTCTAAGAAAACAGAGTAACGAGAGGTTATTGAGAGAATGGAACACTTCCCTAAAAAAAATAAGTGATTACACACTTGTTTGCATTAAATCCTTGGTCGGGGCGTGAACCTCTATTTATGGTTTCTTCTAGATTACATTAAAATATATTATCTTCAAGATGATTCTACATTATGCTTTATATATGCATGGTTGTAGAACTTTTATGAATATTTTAAAGTTCTCTTAAAGCTCATCTCCTTCAACATATTTCTCGAATGATATAGAACATTCTAGAACTTCTTAGATTATTTTTTTATTTCTAATGTTTTTCTAGAATCTTGTTTTTCATGGCTAAAAGGATGTGGCTCACTCTTGCTTGAGATAGCAGTGCGCGTAAAATTTTGCACCTATGATGTGCATGAATTTATGATGAAATTAACTGAAGTCCTTTTTTTTCCCCTACTTGCCTTCACTAATTTAACCTGGGGCTGTTTCATTTTTAAGAAAAGAATGCAATGTAAAGAATAGTAGTGTTAAAATAATATATTGTATTTTGAAATATTTTAAATTTGTTTAATTCTATTTCATTAGAAGATAAATAAATTTCATACAAAATAAACCAATAGTTGGCCAGCAAAAGCAGGCAGCCGGAAACGACAGCAGCTGTGCCGGCAAATGATAATAGCGGGCGGTGACTTCACTCAACAGGCATGCAATTAGGCACACGCATGCTCATCTGGTAAGCATACAAATCACCACAATCATAATACAACACATCCCCTGACCTTTTTTTGAACAAACAGAAGGTACAAGGCATCCGCACGTCCGAGCGGCCAACTATCCGGCGTCACATCGTCATACACGTCAAAGCAGAGAGACGTGGCGCCCGGCGGTTGACTATCTGGATGTACAGACGTAATATTTTTTTCAGGCAGTCGTCCAATGCCAAACAACAAGTACCTAACAAAAATTGAAATGCATCATGTGCTTATTTATATGAATTTTATTTTTAAATTTAAAATAAAACAAAATTTTATTTTAATTAAAACTTAATATTCATTATATATAAATTCCACCATAAATTATACATAATCTTTAGAGAAGACAAACAATGAGACCTATTTTGAGTAACTTATTATACAAAGATTACTTGCACAATCACAAAACTGCAACTAAAACACCTAATTACAAATAACAATATCAAGTCAACAACAGATTTTTTTTCACACAGAATCAATAATTTTTTATTCAACAAACTATTAAACAAAAATTTAACCAGACATGTTTAACAAACAAAAGCATTACCAAGAGGGCCCTGGTTTTCAGCAGCTTCATACTTAAGCAAGTCACGGCTGTTGCTGATCATCATTATTGTTGATTACAGCAAAACTTCGCCTTTGATCGGCAGTGGCAGTGATGACCGGCAGCCACACATCGGCCGTGCTGCTAAGGAGCGAGCGAACCTCAGGGTCATTAGCCATTGTCGATGATATCAATTTGTCCACATCATCTAGCTTGGCTGATAACCTATCAAGCTCAGCTGCTATCTCAAGCTAAAAATGAAGGATAAAGCCGATTAGGAGTGATTATAAGGAAATGGCATTTACAAATATATACCACCCAATTCTCTTGTATTTATATTTCTGACACCTAAGTTTTGCTTTTCACATTTATACCAGCAAAATTTTCATATCACATCAAAAGTGCTACCATTTTAACTTTTAAAAAGTGAAATACAGCTTTTCATGCATATGTACGATGGTATGTATGTAAAAATTATAAGTTTATTCGTTAGATATATAAATACATAAAAATTGAGTGGTATGTATGTAAATCTTCCTAAAATGAAATAGGATGAACAATGATGCTGAGCAGAAACCTCATTGAGATTATTTGGAGGCTTTGGAGGCACCTTAGTTACTTCTATTCCCAGTGCTTCTATCTTCTCCCTTAGCTCAACTTCCTCTTGGTTGCTTAATGATTCTACCTGTACATACAGAACGGTATGCTCATTAGTGTATTTTTAAGTTAAAAGAGCATTTTCCATGGAGGGGCTTATTTTCTATTTTAAATATGTAGTAAAGATGAGATGGCAAGCAGTGTTGAATTAAATGGAAAACTGTACTTTTTTAACACATGCAAATATGAGAGCAATAGCTTATATATCAATCATTAATATTGAAAAATCAAAAACTTGCTGCTCTTTAAAAAAAGAAAAACAATATAACCATTTTATATGTTTACCTTGTAAGTATAAACAAGTACATGAACATAGGCATGAAGCTTGGCTGGAAATCTGAGTAAAAGCCAACAATTACGTTAAACATGAAGCTTAGGCCAACCATGCAAGGAAAATTCTAAAGCTAAAAACTTAGGGCCTGCTTGGATTATTGTTTGTTTGTCTTTTTTTTGTTCAGCATCAAACAAGGAGATTTTTCATTTTTGAAAAAAAAAAAAAAAATAATAAATAAATAGAAAAATATTGTTTGTTTGTCTTTTTTTTTCATCTGATTTTTTAAATCTATTTTATAAAACACAAGTGAGTTATTTTTAAAACAGTCAAATCTCGTGAAACGTATTTTTTGTGTTTTGAAAATAATGAAAACATGTTAAGCCCTAAAACTGAGAAAATATTTGCGTACATAAGACGTACGCAGCGCTGCGTACGTTCAGGGGGTTATTCAGGGGGTAAAGGGGGTTATATCGGGGTTATACCCCGCTGTAACTCCCCTGTAACCTCTTTGTAAACTATCTGTAACCTACAAATGAGTTTCGCGCTTCTATAGTTTCATGGGTACAAATAAATTACACGGAGGTTACAAGGGAATTACACGAAGGTTACACAGATGTTACAGGGGGCTATAACCCGGATATAACCCCCTTGTACCCCCTGACGTACGCAGCGCTGCATACGTCTTATGTACGCAAATATTTTCCCTAAAACTGAGCAAATCCTGATCCCCTTTCCTTCGTTGCTTTGCCCGGATATTCTCAGATCCTTTGACCCGGTTCCGTCTGCCTCTCCTTCGGCTAGCAACACATCTCCCATAGCCGCTCTTTGACTCTCAAAGGTTAGGTGAGATCTTCTTTCATTGCTTTCTTCAGTTTCTCTTCAATCATTCGACTTTCATAGCCAGGGCAATGTTGAAGCATGTTTTCCTTTCCAAATTTATGGTTTTGGTCTATTTTTTCTGCGTTTCCCCTTTCTAGATCTCAGGATTTTATGCATTTTTCTGATTTGTGGGTGATGCCCCCGACGGATCTGTGGGTGGTTAGTTGAATGGTTATGTCAATTTATGAGGTGGATTTTGGGTGGGGGAAGCCGATTTATATGAGAATAGCTTGTATGTTGTTTGATGGATTGACTTATCTTTTGCCAAGTTTGCCGGAAGGTGAGGAGGAGAGAGGAGTTTCGGTGGTGATGAAGATGGAAGAGGGGAAGATGGGACGGTTTAAGGAGATATTTTTTTTAGGAGAATGGGTGTGTTGGGTTGGCTCAAATTTGTAATTGCCTGCATTATTTAGTAGGAGCTTCCAGATAATGCGATGTTCAGATGATTGTAAGATAGCTACAATTGATTTTGAGTTAATTTGGCTTGAATTAGTTTAAAGTAATACTGGTGTTGTATGTAGCAATGTTTCAAGTGTTAGCTATGTAATTGCTTCATGTGGGTGCTAGTTTGTATGTAGCAATGTTTCACGTGTTATATATGTAATTGTTTCAAGTGTGGTGCTAGATTTGATGTAGCAATTTTTAAAGTGCTATCCATGTAATTGTTTCAAGTGTGTTGATATTTTGGTGTGTAGCAATGTTTCATGTTGGCTCTCCATGTAATATGTAAACACATGCGCACTTTTGCTTTCCCAAAGAAAGAATTATGAATGTATGGTAGTTTAAGTGTTAATAAGAGAGTTTAGGTGTTAGATATGTATAAGCATAAGAATTGTAAGGTATGTAGAATGTAGCCAATGAGTGAATAGGAGACCAATAGTTTGGTATTGCCAATAGTTTGATTCTGTTTAATTGTTTTATCAATTTATTATCTACTTTAATTGAATAGAACTTTAACTATATCTTTATAGACTATGGATAATACTGATATAATTGAAAACAGTGGAGAGGTTGTATGATCAAATAGAAATGAGCAAATTTTCATTCAACTCATGAAAATTGAAGTTATTAATGGGAACAGATAAACAACCACTTTCACTCCAGCTGCATGATCACACATTATGCAAGGGCTTGAATCATCAACATAAAAAAAAAAAAAAAAAAAAAATTTAAAAATGAGAAATAAGTTCAATATGGTCATATCTCCTTGGATAGACTTTTAAAATTTATTAAAAGAGGAATTTATTATAACGCAATCACAGGTCAAGTGATTGCATCCAAAGATGTTTGATCAAAGTTATATAAGGTATTTATTTCATCTTATATTTTATCTAAAATTTACATTTATTAATCATAAATTTTAATAATTATACTTGTGGTGCAACAATATGTAGGTCAACAAAATTGGAAGAACATTTCAAATTTAAAAAAAAAATGTTGAATGTATGAGTCTTTTTGTCGTATTTATGGCGACACGACTGGCAACATCATTCAACCAAAATCCCTTCAGACACTGAGAAAGAGGAAAAGATTGGAGAAAGTGAAACAAAGCCTTTAGAGAAATCCATGAAGAAAGAGAAGAATAATGATGTGGCACTTACGGGCATATTATATACAAAACGTGCTAAAAAGACAACTATTTAAGATATTATTGCCTCTACACTCCTATTACTAAGTGAAGGTTTGAAAAGAAGGGTTGGTATGATTAAAAAATATAATAATAAAACAAGTGCAAGTCAATCGAAACTCCAACTAAAACATCTGAATCTCTATTGCTCGAATGTATGAAAATTCTCAATTCAATAGAAGATCTAGACGATGTTAGCTAGTAGAAAGTTTTACAGAAGTTTCAAGAAGATGCAATATGGATGAAGATGTTTCTTCATATGCCTCATAGCAAAAGAAAATGTTGGATTCTTAATTTGATAACTAGAACGCCGACTAAGGCAAATACAAAAGATAATGATGGATCCTAAGCTTCATTATGATAAACAAGTCATTTTCTAAGACAAGCTTTCTACCGTTTCTTTTATGATGTAGAACAATTTATTAGTTTGAGTTATGATGATACTGCACCTTTATTTCGTCTTATGTATTTGTGTTAGTCGGTGTGTTATGCATAAGGAGAGAATCAGAAGCACTCAATATGAATGTTTTTGGATGAAACAAGCAGGCCAAAATACAGATAAGCGGAAATTGAACGAGTAAAAGCACAAATCTCTAGTAATGCTCTGCAACAAACAGTTAGATACGGAATAAGAAGAAGAAGGAAAAGAAAGATCAAAGCGCTTGTGTGCTACAATGTCCCAGATCGAAGCCCCATAGGTTCCAACTCTATTCTGTGAGTAAGAAAACACCGCAGACCCCCGATGAAAAAAAAACGATCGACATTAAAATGAAAACAAATGGCGAAAGTGATACCTCTTGGAGAAGAGACGTTAGGAGTTCAAAAAGCTGAGCATCTGGTCTTCCCCGTTCTTCCGCCATCCGAACCGATAACAAGTTCTTGGTCAAGGATCGATGCTTCGCGGACGACGATTGTAGATGTAGATTTCTAACGCGACCCCTCATCTAGTAAACTATACCACTAATTTAACCTGAATTTTAGAAAGATTTACATGCATACCACTTAATTCTTATGTATTTACATATGTGCCACTTAGTCTTCAATTAATATATATACCTAATTCTTATGTCATATATATATATATATATATATATATATAGATTAGATGAGCCCCAACCATCCCTGGGTGTGCTACATATTCATGTATCCACCAGTAGACCACGACACACCCAAGAATGGTTATTTCAATGTGATGCCCACCAATTATGCGTATGATGCTGCCATTTTTTTTTCATTTTTTTACTTCCAATAACGCTGTCATGTTACAGAGTTAAAATAAACTAAAACATTACAAAACTCTGTACATTATTATATATATATATATATATATATATTCAAAAGCAAGAAGTTATGATACGAGCCCCAACCAACCTCATGCCTCTAACCATTCGACGAATCCACACACCAGTGGGATCGAACCCTCAACCCCACGAGACTTAGAACTTACATAGCAGATGACAACCAAAAAATTGGAGAACGCTGGGCGGTATAAATATAAAAAAGGTAAAGTTTAGATGGCAGATAGGTAAATATATAAGAATCAGTAATCAAATAAAATTAGAATAATTTAATTTCGATTTAAAAGAAACAATAAGGTTATATTGATTGTAGATGCCTTTGCCTTGGCAGAAAAAGAATCCATCTCTAGTTGATTTTTCATCACCATCTTGATGATGATTTCGGGTGACATGATTCATGATTAGCGAACATTTAAATTTAGAAACACCTACATACATATCACTTAATTCTTTTGTACTTACATAGCTTACACTTAAACTTCATTTTTTTACATACATGTCACATATATGTTAGATGTGTAGATATGGGTGGTATGTATATAAATGACCCATTAAATCACTTTTGAAAGGTGTGCCATTCAAATCTCTTTGCGCATGTGAATTTTCCTCCTTCGATTGATTTTCATGTTGGTCAGCTTGAGCATTTCTACCAAAATTATATATATGTCCCAATATGTGTAAGCCCACAAAGGTAAAATTGTAAGGCAAAAACAAAGATTGTTTGTTAGTTAAGCTTGATAAACATCTTTAGATCTTCTCCATCATAGTCTGATATTTATTAAAGGTATTGAAGCTAGGGGTGTAAACGAACCGAACACGAACGAACAGAGCTTGTGTTCGTGTTCGGTTCGTTTGAAATTTAGTTTGTTTGAAATAAGCTCGTGCTTGAAATTATTCGTGAAATCACTGTTTGTGTTTGTTTCTTAACGAACGAGCCGAACACGAGTTGTTCGCGAACGACGAGCCAGTTTGACATCACTAATTTAATCTATATAAATAATATATTATATTAATTATATAACTTATATTATATATTACTAATATAATTATTAGTTTATTATATATTACAATTTATAAAATTTAATTTTTTAAAATATCTCAAATTTTTTATATATAACTATTTGAAATTATTTTATATTTCGAACAATAACGATTCAAACACGAACGAACGCATCACTGTTCGTGTTTGGATTGTTTAAATAACCGAATGAAAAAGATTTGTTCACGTTCATCTCGTTTACTTATCGAACGAATTAAACACGAACTGAGTCTTCTCCATCATAGTCTGATGTTTATTAAAGGTATTGAAGCAAAGCAAAAGCTGACAATGAGCTATTTTTTTCTCAAATTTTAGTTTTTGCTGCAATCCTGGCAATAAAACCTCAATAGGATTTATATTTTTCTCCCTTATAGAGTTGGGACAAAGATATACCATAAATGCATACCTTGGAGGTTATAAATATGCTTTCCCTTGTGCCTAATTGTTATATTTTCAATCAACTGATTATAATCTACAGCATAAACATTATTACAGCTCTGTTTTTAACTATACATTGTAAATGAGAATCAATACTGTTTTTACATATACTTTTTTATATGACCTTACGGTTGCCACGGTTTCTAAATTATAAAAAATGAAAATGACATCGATAGGACAGAGAAACATAATGGAAGTGGTTCTTCAGGGGCTTTTGCATGCATAGCACCCAATTGTTATGTATTTACATGTCTAATATAAGAGTTAAATAGGGTGTATTTTACTTGAGTTCCAAATTTCCTATAGAGTTAAACACTTATAGTTAATTACATCTCAAATGATCGGGGTCGCTTAAGAAAACTCTCGATTAAAATCAGTGATTCTGCCTTTAAGATTTCAAAATTTAAATTTCAACGATTGAACATGAAAAAATCAAACGGGAGTGACTAAAATAGGAACGGTTATTTTAAGGAATACAAAGAAATGAAGAGTAGGGTATATCACGGATCCAAGGAAAACTCCAGTGACCTCCCAACTATCCTATGAATTTTGCTCTTTACATTTATATTACCCAAATCTTTCATATCATATTAAAAATCACTTCTTTAAGTTTAAAAATGAAACACAACTTTTCATGCATAAGAAAGATGATACATACCTATATAGGGTAGATATGTAAATGGAATTAAGTGTTACGTATTGTAAATCATAATGGCCCTTAAGGTTAAAAGTACCAAACACTCATAAGCTTTACATTCATGACACAAGTTTATATATTTACATATTTAACATCTAAGCTTGAACATTACCAATGCATGAAAGTGTAAATTTTTTTTAAATACTTAATTTTAAAGGTAAATAAATAACGTAAATTTTAAAAGAATATTTACATATATAACACAGTTTTTATATAATTGCATAATTAACTTCTAAGCTTGAACTTTACCTGTGCATGAAAATGCATATTTCACTTTTAAAAATTAGTGATAGTAGTATTTTTTAACATAGTATGAATGATCTGAAAATAATTAATGTAAGGAATAAAATTTAAGTGTTAGATAAATAAATAAATCCATAGGAATTCAGTAATATGTATGTAAATTTTCAAAATAGAAAGGCATCAAAATTTTAAGGATGGTCAAGTAATTACGAGGATGCAGAAAAAATATTTCATCCGGACATTCGCATTTCCGGACGGCCAAACACCAGCGGTCATGTCGCCCGTTGATGTTATGTATGACGACGTGGCCGTCGATTGTAGGCCGTCCGGACATGCGGCGTTCGGACGAAATATTTTCTCAATGACGAGCGACTTTCTTTCAAATAGATGTAATAATTGTGAAAGTTAGACAAATGAAAAAGCTAAAACTTGTATTTTACTCGATTCAAATTTGAATGAAGGAAGAATTATGTAAAGGATAAAAAGAAACTAAGCAATCAAGAACGCAAAAGACGAGCAAATAGAAATAGCTTATCTCATTAAAACTAGAGCATGAATGTAGCGGACAAAACAATATTAAAAAGCCTGCCAGAATAGTAATGGATGATGAGATATGCGAGCTTGTTTTGTCCCTTGTGTAGAATACAACAACACATCTAATGAAAGAAACCAGAATGGCTCTATTACAGCTACCTTCAGAATTATGATTCTGGATACAAAGGCAGGATTTATTCACTCAACTTCGGCCTGGCTGCCGCACGACGCCGAAACCTCGGTACTGCAAACTGGGCAAACCTGTAAGAATCAAGGGTGAAACAGATTACACCTCAAATAGTTGTAGCTTATCAATGGAACTTTTCATTTTTTCTTACCCAATTGGTTTTGGCATTTACATATGTAACCCACAATTCTTATGTATTTGCATATCAAATACTTAGAACATTCATATTAACATGCACATCACTCAAATCTTTAACATTACATAAAAATACCACCATCGTTATCTTTTAAAAGTGAAACACACTTTTTTATGCATAGGTTTATGACAACAAGATGGTATAAGTGCAAATATCAATGTTTTGGTGTTAGATATGTAGATAGATAAGAATTGCATGGTATGTGCAAAATTCTCTAGTTTTAATTAAGTAGATATTCATTGATGCTCATTAACATCGTTTCCCACTCAAATATTTTACCCACTTATCCAAGTAAATTAGTTACTTGAGAAATAGCTTAAAATCTATTTTTGCATTGCATGTGAATGCGTCAATTTTAACATGCCTAGTTATGTCGTCTTCTATATCAAAATATGAGTCATCTAATGATTATTAGAAATTTTAATATCATGTCTTATGATGTCAACCTTGATTATTGCTCCCATAAAATATTGTCTCCTAAAAGTGTAAATAGGCTCATCGTCATATTGAACTTCTTGTTCATATTCGTGAAATGATTTTCTTACAGATGCTAAAATAACTTGATTCATTTGATTTGGCCTGTTTAGCAATTCATGAAATTGGCTTTGGAAAGTTATTAAAATCCCAATTTTTTTGATGATCTAGTAATTTCTGCTCTAATCTTGATGATATGAAGACGCGATTTTAATTGAGAAACTAAATTTAATGTTGGATAACTTAAAGTTTAGGGTTTTATTGATGCAGGTCAAGGATCAGATGAAAAAAGACGCGCAGACACGCAAGCTCGAAGTACAGTCCACTAACTTTAATTTTAGGTAAAACTGTAAAAAGGTTGTCTTTTTATTAGAATTAAACCACACAAAAATCATCCCAAATGATATGATAATTGGACCATCATCCGAAATTGAAATTGCACAAGAAAGTTGAGATTGATAAAACCATGCAAAAATAATGATCAACAATGTAAAAAAAAAAGACTTTAAATAGTAGCATTTTTTTACCAAATCTGTCACACATGCCAAACCAAAACAAATTATGTAGATTAAAAAAAAAAAAATAGAAGTCACCAAATAGAAGATACGAGCCTCATGCCACAGTACAAAGAGAACGCTTCTCCCCCATAAGTTGCCATCAACATTTGCACGACTCAAATAAATTGTGTTCAACTAGCACACATGCTTGAGAGAACATCTAAAATTTTGTTGAACATACACTAATATTTTGTATGTTTTGCGGTCCAAATTTATGATAAAAGGAGCAATTACATGCATACCACGTCATTCCTATGTATTTAAACATTAAACCGCTAAACTCTTATTTATTTTTATTTAAAACGCTCAAATCTTTCACATCACAGCAAAAAAAAAAAAACACTATCTTAACTTTCAAAAGTGAAAACACCTTTTCATGCACAGGTACCAGGCTATAAATGTAAAAATCGAAGATTAGGTGTTAAATATGTAAATAAACAGGAATTCTATGGTCTGGATGCAAATCTTATTAAAAAAACCTAAAATCAGATAGCTCTTGAGATATAGGGATTTGATTAAAATATGCAAATCCCTATTTAACAATCCTGAATTCGCTAAAAACTATATGCCAAGATTGAGCAAATCTCCAATATCAAAGATTATACAAAAACAATAATTATGATTTCAATCATAGCTCAAAAACAAGTTCCAATTTCTAGTTATAATGACAATAGGGAACCGACTAGTAAGCAAGGAAGGTAAGTTTAAATATTGCCATAATTTTAGGAATGCAAATCTCCAAATTTTGCACAAACAAGGAAACTTAGTATGACACATCATCGAATGAGGCAACAATATATTAGAAGGAAATAAATCTAACACGTGGAATACTAAAAAAACGACACACCTTCGCCCAATCAGTGGTCTTTTTAATAGTAGAAAGCCGCTATAAAGAGAAAATAATCAGGCCGTAGGTGACCAAACAAGTATAGAGAATATATGGTTGAGCCAAAAAAATCAGTTGTTGGGCCACCATAAATCAATGCAATATTAGATAATATAGTCCGTTTTATGTAAGAATCATCATCATATGCATATTTACATCATAATGAATACATATAAAATCAAATTTATTGAAAAAAGAGCTAATTAGCAAAGAAACTTAAAAATGGTGATGTGCTCACCTAACTTTGAGAAAACGTGCATTTCACAAGTATACACCTAAGATTTCATCATTAATACAAGAATAATAGTTATGGAGGCTATATTAAAAAAAAATTTACATACATACCAACCAATCACTATATATATACATATCTAACACCTAAATTAATTTTTTTTACAATTATAGCACTTTAGATGCTCCCCCCCCCCCACCCCCCCCTAAAGGCTCATTGTTATAAAGTTGTATAGCACTTTGCATATATTTCACCTTTTAAAAGTTAAATATAATGGCATTTTTCTATTTTATATGAAAGAGTTGGGTGCGCTGCTATAAATGTAAAACGTAAAAAATTTCGGCGTTAAGTGTGTAAATCTCCTTTAAAAATGAGCACAATAAGTAATTCTGTTTATATACAGTGAACCATTTCAATATTAATAAATGGGATTCGATTTGTTTTGATGCACCTGCATGAGTTGACATTACAAAGTATATTTTCAAATTTCTAACAAACACCATTCAGGATAAAATGCTAAAGGCTTGTAAATTGAAAGTTCGATCAAACATCAAAAATTAAGAAAACTAACGGATCTTCTCAACATCACGATATCCATACATATATATATATATATATATATATATATATGTGTGTGTGTGTGTGTGTGTGTGTGTGTGTGTGTGTGTGTGTGTGTGTGTGTGTGGATCTTGATAAGATTCTCATACATAACAGAATCACACAGATATAAGTTGGAATATATAATACCATTGAGAAAAATGTCAAAATAGTCCCCTAAATTCTTGCAAGGGATTTTAGTCCATAGTTAAACAAAATTTTCAATTTAATCCATAGAATTTTAATATCGGTTGAAATAGTCCCCAATCACTCTTTTAGGCCCCATTAAAACAATTTGGGACTACTTTAGCATTTTTTTAAGCTCTGGGACTAAAATAACCCAATGTAAATAGTAAGGGGACTACTTGGCACTTTACTTCATCCGGATTATTGGAGAATTAGTCACATAGGTGCACTATATCCAGCAAATTCACAGCTCTAAATGCAACCAAGTAAATGATATCTTAGACAGGGCTTGAACACTAGCAGTCAAATTTCTAAGCTATGCTGAATAGATTAATGCATGATTCAAAAGAATCCTGTTAAATATAGCCAAAAAGAAAACAAAAGCAAAAACATAGATTATAAAAACCAAATCATATTTCATACAAATTTATGCATGAAGTAGACAAACAAAGTAAGTACCTTGTTTATTTGGAGCCATTTGTTTATGCACTCGGTGTGGTATTTATGCTTGCATGAAAGCACAACTAAAGAATCACCGTCCTCAAAGTCCAATCGGCAAATGACACATCTGGGTAAATGAACAGAATATAGAATCAACAACTATTTAAAATCTGAATAAATTCAACAAATAAGAACCTGATTCAGGCTTCTCATTTAAAGTTCGATGAGACAATGATTAAACAAAAGATGCTTATATTACGGAATAAAAGATGAAGAAAATATCAAAATACCAAGCCCATTTCCAATAGCAGCTTAAATACATATATTTTCATATATAAATTCAATATATGCTAATTGCAGTGATGTTGTTTTGAATGCCAAACTAAACAAGGTAAGTTTATGATTTTGTTAAGATTTTATCTTTTTTATTGATGGACGCTCTACATATACAAAACAAATTATTATTTTCACCTGCTGCAAATAGAAAATAGATTTTATTTCAAGCATGGCTTTTCGATATATTTCTATGATTACACCATGGGATATTATTTAGTTCCGCACATAGTTTCAAAAACTTCTAGAAGTAAATGCCAAAAGTAAGGCTTACAAGAAATACCTCAAGACTTGCGCCTCATTGTCCAGAATAAGGCTTATGCCTTTTTTTTTAATCAGAGTACACCTCAAACAATTTTTTTGGAACATATGTTTGAATGCATACAATTTCATCATTGCTAAAACATGATTCAAATCCTTTTCGAACTATGATCAAATCAGCAGTGAGTGTGATTCAAATCAAGTTAGAATTTTGTTCAAATCATATTCAAACCCTAATCAAATATGGTTCAAACATGATACAAATATATTCAAACATTGTTTGAAATATGATCAAACATTATTCAAACTGATCAAATAAATGTTCTAATATTATATGAACTATATTTGAACCTTGTTTGATCGAAGTTCGAACATGATTCAAACACATATTCTAACAAATTTCATAAATTCACTTTGGACTGATACGTAAGACTCAGATATAACATGTTCGAATTTTGTTCAGTCGATGCCTGAAAAAAGTTTGAACATGAGCACATGTCCTAATAAATTTCATACTTTTCATTTTAGATTAAAATTGAAGATTAAGATTTATTTTCTTTTTCTGAATATGTGAAATTATGGATTATAATGAAGAACAAAGTAAAAAAAAGTAGATAGTGTAATATATTTATGAATTACATTTTTAATTTTATGAGTTTGTAATTATTAATTTCAATTTAAGGATGAAGTTTTTTATCTGCCTCAAGCCTTAAGCCTCACCTCACAAAGCAAAATACCTCAATTCCCAATTTCATCTTTTAAAATCTTAGTTATGCGATTAAAACAGGGTATGATTACAAAAAAGTGGCTTACTTTTCTAACGTATTTTATTTACTTAATTCATGGAAGAAAAAAATGGAAAAGTTTCTATTAAAGCCCTTCGAGAATCACTCTCGATATCTTTTCTTGATTTCAGAAAGATATTTTACTTTATTGTTTCAGATAAAGAATGGACAACGAAAGAAAGCCGATTTTGATTAGTAGTCTCCCTTTCTAATCAATTAATGGGTATTAAAAAACAAAATATTTTCATTTTAAGGTTTAAACCCTAAAAATATACACAAAAATACAAGCAATAAGATATTTTAGAATATCAATTATCATGTAATTTGTATTCATTGGTGCACAGCATATCACGTAATAAGGGTAGCAGTCGAACCGAACTTGGCCAGTTTTACAATCCAATAGAGAACAAGAAAGAAGAATTGTTTATTTTGCAAATCCATTGAAATGGCATTTGGCCTTAAAAAAAACAATCACACGCACATTTCCGCATGGAACTACTTTGCATAAGCAATAGAATGGAAAAAAAATGAAAAAATGCAAAAAAAAAATTCATCTGCTCTATTCTTCTGCAAAATTGTGAACTTACTGATCAATATTGCAATCCTCTCCGATGTGAGCCTTGTAGTAGACTGAAGGCAAAGATGCTATAGTATCGATAGAAAGACCTCTGTTCTCAGTTCCGACTACCTCACCCAATGCAACAAGCTCCTACAGTATTAGACAGATATCCCATACGATATGTTAAGAGTAAAATTTGAATAATGAATGAATCAACTGAACCAGCTTACCTCATATGATAGTTCGTCCGGATCAACCTCCCTCCATGCATCCTAATATAAAAAAAAAAATACAATATGATAAAATAGTCTACAATCTAAAAGTAATTTGAAATATGAAAAGAGATATTTCCATTCACAAGGTCAAATACATTTCTAATACGTTTTAAAAAAAAATGTAATAGAAGAAATTAAATGCAACATTTTTTTTAATATGATGTTTTTTTTTTCTCAAAATTAGATGTAAAGCATTAAATAATGACTTTTGAAACATCATTGATGTAGGAAGTTTTAGCGTCTATTTATTAACACAAACTTAGCTTAAGCTGCATAAAAAAATACATAAATGACCACAATTCACCATTTCCAATGATTAACTCACACTTCTGATGCAAACAAAAACAGTCTTTTATTCAGTCCAAGTGATAATTTAAAAATCTCCATAATATTAAAACACATAAGAAATGTGATAATTATGAACTTTTGTAACAATTAAGATTCACAGCACAAAAAGTAAAACTAGAAAGCATCAAGTTTAATGCAACAAATCTAATTTATGAACACAAGAATCTTTAGATATTTTAGTAGAACAAGCATGCATGAAATTCAACAATTTGAAAATTCAGTCCTCCCAATGGTACAAAGAGACCAGTCCCCAAAGGTTATCATGAAAAACTACATGCGTTCGAAGATTTCACATCCAATAACAAATCTAGAATGAATCAAAATTTAATTCAACCATTTAATAATTTTTACATGCCTCAAAGGGCTTAAATAAATAACTTCTCAAAATCTCTCAGGATATAAGCTAATAATGTAAGTTTCAATTCAATGCATTTGAATTCTAGTAAGAACAAGTTTCCAATCATTATTCAGCAGTAAATTTCTACTTAAAAATTCACGCAATAGCAGTTCCCAATTTACTCTACAAAAACACGTCATCAAGAAAGAAACGGATAGAAAATCATAGTTAGAATCCCAAAAAGGAAACAACCATATAAATAAATAAGCACGGAAGACAGAAACTACCACAGAAGGAAACACCAAAACAAAAGAAAAAAAAAAGAGAATATAAACAGAGAGCTACCCCAACCATAAGATCGGCCGCAAATGGAAAGATCGTCGAAGGGAACAGTCATAACGGGGAACTCATATATAGTTAAAGTGCAAATAATAGAAGCCCTTAGATTGCTACAATGATAACAAAATGAGTGGTTGGATTCCACATTAATATGCCCAAGTACAAAACAATTAGGGACGAACTGAGTATTTAATATGTCATGAACATCTAGGTTTAATTGATGTGTCTCTATTAAGCCGGTCGCTAAGGGTAATTTAGTCTTTCGTGTGTCTAAAGACAATTTAATCTTTATTAACTTACAGACAATTTAGTCATTTGTCATTTATAATTATCTTACGATGTTTAAAACTAATATGTCTAGGGTTAGGGTTATGCATGAGATTATTGTTGAGTCTTAGGGTTAGGGCTTGAGAGAGATTTTCTATCTCTCGAATTGTATGAATTGGAAGAGATAGCATACCTCTTAAATTGTAGGACTTATCTTTGTATTCATGTTGAATGTTTGATGTCCCTGTAATAAAAGGTATTTGCCTTAATTTATGTGGAAGATCGTGAGTAAAATGGTATCAGAGCATTCGTTTATCGGAAAACACAAAAAAAAGGGATTGGGTGTGCTCTAATTTCAATTAGAGAGCTAGAGTTTCCAAGAAGAAGCAATTGGAGGAAGGATTGTTGCATATACAGTAAAGATTCGCGATTTCATGAAGCTTGCAGCAATCTAAGAACATTCTCCTTTGAGCATTGATCATGTCTAAATAATCGCTTCTCCTTCACTGGTCGAAAGAATGCTGAGATTGTGGAGTACAATGACCTCAGATTGAAACAAAAGCCTTTGACAGGATTGCATATCTTGTGATACAATTGCCGATAAGAGCTAGCTAGGAAGAGACGACGGGATCAAGACGCAGTACACAATGGATCAATGTTACAAAAGCTAGCGGGGAAGCATCGTTTGCTTGACTTAATATCATGATACAATCACACAATCACGATTGAAGATAGATTCGAAAAAAACGTATGGGATTGTGTCGTACTGAGAAGACAGTGATGGGATCGGCATGATCGCACTGGATCACAGCATACGACGCCTCTGTCATTGTCTCTGTCGTGACCGAAGCACGCCAAACAACAAGAAAGCCATCGATGGGATTTCAACACCATGAGTTCCTTCGTGATTGAAAACCGTGAAAGATGACAACAAGGAAAGTGGATGCTTTTGAAGAGAGATTCGAAGAAGTAAATCTAGGATAGAGGATGGTTTTTCCGCCATTAACAAACAAATCAAGAACATGAAGGAGATGATAAGAAAGCTTATTGAGATAATCTAAGAGCCCTCTGGCGGCTCAATTTGCAAAACCTAACTAAGGGGCTGATTGGAGAATCCATGACCAGATCGAAAGGGAAATACATAAAAAATGAGGAACAGAAGGAGGGAAGAATCCACCATCAAGAACTCACACCTAGGACTCCGATAGGGGTGGACTAGAGATTTCTGATAGAGAGGGGTGGGCCGAATGGAGGAGGGTTATACAAGGGGTTGGGAGGTGTGCGGAAAAGGAAGGAGAAACCAGAATGGGGTATGATTATGATCAAAGGATGGAGTTTCACCCTAGATACATAAGAGGAAGTTGGAGTGGTGATGCTAGGGTTAGGAAGTTAAAGATGTCAACTTCGAGTGGGAAGATGCACATGACTAGGTGTAGGTGGAGCAATACTTCACTGTGAATGGGCTAAATGCGGAGGAGAAACTCAAGACACGGGTTAAGTTTGGAGGGGAAAACCTTAGCATGGTTTCAGGGAACGGAGGCCAGATACTCGATCCGTTCGTGAGAGAATTTTATAGATTGTTTGTTGGAATATTTCTGAGTCATTCAGAAAGGAGACTTACGCGAGCAATTCTATGCATTGACACAGGAGAAGCCTATCATGAAGTATAGAGAGAGATTCAAGCTATTGTCAAGATTGCTGAGCAAGATTTCTAAAGTAAGATTGGAGAAGAACTTCATGAGCCTAAATCTCGACATATAAGCAGCACTCCGACTATTGATACCGTAGAGATTGAAGGAGAATATAGAGCTTGCCTAGATGGTGGAAGATAAGAATCAAATGAAAACGACCAATAAAAACGACACCACAGGTGGATTCCACAAAAGTACCTAAACGACCATTATACCGAGGAGCCAAATAGTGTCATTTCAGGAGGAGGCGCCAAGGGGGGCTCATCTCGGTGTAAACTTCAAGAACCTCACAGAGACAAATTCAGGACAAAAGAGCAAAAGGATTAGGTTTCTGATGTGATGAAAAATAAGCCCCAAGCCACTGGTACAATGATCAAGAGCTCCATGTCACCTCCCAAAAGAGCTCTTAGGGGTGGTGGGCAGCCCAGGACTTAAATACTGTTTTTCGGCCCTACACCTAGCCGATGTAGGACTTTTTGTCCGTGACTTTCTCCTCCACCCAATCACGTGACACCCTCGTCACGAATCGGCTCCACCGAGGGTCCCACTGGACCATGGAGAGTTCACACACCTAGCAGGCAGTAATCTGCTCTGATACCACTTGTCACCTCCCAAAAGAGCTCTTCGGGGTGGTGGGCAGCCCAAGGCTTAAATACTGTTTTTTTGCCCTACAACTAGCTGATGTGGGACTTTTTGTCGTGACATCCAGATTCTATTAGATTGTAAGAGGGGGGGGGGGGGGAGGTGGTGAGGAGTCAGAGGAAGAAATGGTGGAGGGAGAGGAGCCTCTCAACTCAGTGATGGGATTTACCCCAAAATCCCACCATGAATGTGGATAGTGGGGCCACTTACAATTTTATTTCAAATCTGGTCGTGGACCAACTAGGGATGAAGTTGGTAGATATAAGAAGCTCCATGGTCATGATAGGGACAGGGAAGGTGAAGAAAAGTTGGCGAATTTGTAGGGAATTAATATTGACACCACAGGGCCTACATGTGGTGGAAGACCCCCTTCCCTTGGACTTGGGAAGCACAAATGTGCTCCTGAAGATGAAGTGGCTACAGGCGATTGGGAAGACTAAGATGCATTGGAAACTTTTGACCATGGAGTTTCATGAGGGAGATAAGGTGGTGGTGCTTCACGATGACTCTAGCTTGTGCAAGACCCTAGTGTCAGCGAATCCATCAAAGGTAGCTGAGAGGTTGGAGGGGCCACTACCTAAGACCTGGTAGGGGTTGAGAAGATTTATGAGACTTACAAGATACTACTGAAAGTCAGTGAAGGGTTATAATTGGAATGTGTGGTCGTGGACAAAAAAAATTGAAAAATAATTGTTAGGGAGGGAAAGTGAATTCCCGGACTTTTGAGAAGTTGAAGATGGTCATGACGAGTGTGTCAGTGTTGTCAGCGAGAAGCAAACCCAAACCACTTTATGAGCGAGAGCCACATGACGTGATCCAACAATATTTTTTCCCACCTTGAGGGCAATGTATCTTTTTGAGGAAGGAGTATTGTTACGCAGGTCCCTAAGGGCAATTTAGTCTTGTGTGCGTCTAAGCACAATTTACTCTCTATTAGCCTAAAGCCAATTTAGACATTTTTCGTTTACTATTGTTAGTATAAATAAGACTAATATATTTTCGGTTATGGTTGTGCATTATATTGTTGTTGTGAGTCCCAGGGTTAGAGTTTGAGAGAGATTTCCTACCCCTTGCATTGTGAGAATTGGGAGAGATAATCTTTCTCTCGAATTGTAAGTGTTTATCTTTGTATTTATGTTAAATGTTTGATGTTCGTACAATAAAATATGTGTTTGCTCTAATTTTTGTGCAAAATCATGCCAAATTGCATCAAATTCCTGCAAAGAAATTAATAAATTATCACAAATAAATTTTTCATCTCAAAACACAATGTTATCATGAAATCAACCATCAATAGTGTACAAAATCTCTACATGTAAGACACCTTTCGGAACAAGAAAATTGGATCCATTATTAAGCCGATGGATTTAATTTCAAATGTAGATGATGGAAAGAAAGAATAATCAAAGAAAAAAATAGTATGTTTATGAAATAAAGTCAAATCACACACATTGAGTTTGGAAAATACTAAGTCTTAGCAAATTTTCATTTTATAAGTTTGACCCCCATGGTCAGTATTATTCAATAGGTCATCTTGAAATTAATTTCTTGAATTCCTCTATAGGTAGTCTTTATTCAAACGTATCATTTCCTGGCACTCAAGTTTGAATTGCTCCTCATTTGTTCACATCCATAATAAACTTTAAATTGTCATAATTAACAATTAATTTCCTACAAACCCTTCATGCAAATCAAATAAATGATATGAAGAAAATAATGAGAATACCAAAAAACTAATATGTGTCCAAATATAGACTAGTGATTATTACAACTAATTACAAAATGATGAGAAGAAATAAATTTGAAAATTGGCAAGCCATGCAAAAATAGCATGTCTATATGAATGAACGATCTTTATAAAGAATGCTAATCCAAATGACTAGCATAATAAGGGAAATGATTTATTTGCTTTCAGAGTTGCCTGATGAATGAAAGTTGATTTTCACGTTTCTTTAGGCCAATCATACCTGACAAATTGTTTATAATATTGACAGAGTTTAACCTTTTTCATAATTCTCTCTGCGATTTTGGAATTTAAGGAACTAAGAACCGAGAGCAAAATCAATTTCAATTTGGTTCATAGAAATCAGAAATTTCATCAAAAGTAAAATGCGCTTGTTCAATCAATTTATCATCTTCAATGAACATAATAGGTTTACTTTGACATTGGAGGATCAATTCAACTTGATTAGAACCTAGGTTTCACATAAGAGCTCAAATTCATAATGACATTAAATTCAGATTCTATTTGTAGTTTAGGTTTAATTCTAGTTTCAAATTCACAATCAATATCTAATTTCTCAAAATCCCTCAAGATTTAGCCTAATGTTACAAATTTCAATTCAACGCAATTGAATTCCAGAAAAAGCAAGATTTCAATCTTACTTCAGAAAAACAATGAATTTCTAGCTTTAATATTCTCATTCCAGCAAGACCTAATTTTTCTTACTATAGTAAAAAGTAAGATTGAAAAAAGAATGAAATCGCTCACCGATCACAGTTAACGTTTGGAGAAGGAAAAAATAACAGAAGCGCCAAAGAAAAAACAGCAAAAAAAGGGAAAAAGAATTCTAATCGCATAAGACTTATAGGCATAGTAGTCAAATCATTTTCCTGCTTGAACTAGGACACAGTCCCTCAGTTTTAACCTTCCACAAGCTTTCACGAGAGTAAAACTTTAAAAAAAAAATTGTTCCTAGGTGTTAGCTTTTTTATTAACAAATAATTTGATGCAAATGATTGATAAGAAAATGAATAGTATTAAAAAATGTCAATCCACATTAGGAAGGAATTTATTTTCTTTCTTTCGAAAATATTTCACTATTTGTGTTTCCTTTACCAAACATATTCTTTTTCTGTTTTTTCTTAATTTGGTGGGCTTTCTTTTTTATTACTTTCACTATTATATATACATAGCAACGTGTAATGCATGAAGGATAGCGAGAAATTTTTTTTTAGAATTTCTACACATATATATGCAAGAATCCAACTTAGAACCCAGGTAATGTTGTAAGAAAACCATGACAAAAAGAAACAACACTACTTGAAAAAAGTGATTTCAACAGAACACATAAAATGTGTATATTAGGGGTGTCGAAAATTGACTTGATGCGCCAACTAGGCCCAAACCCGACTCAAAAAATCCGGGTTCATGTAGACATGAATAATTTTCAAGTTGCATTGAATTTTAAAAGTCAGGTTCAGAATGACCCAAAAAATCTGAAAATGACCCGTCAACCCTAAATTGACTTGAAATCTACCAACCAACCCGAAATTGATCCAATTTTAACCCAAAAACCAGTTATCCCTTATGTTAAATGGGTTATACGGGTTGGATACGGTTGGTAGGTTGAAGGCGGGTCTAATTTGGGTTAAGATTTTCGACCTGTATATTATTCGTGTCGATTTCGGGTTAGACATATTCAAGTTGGGTCAATTTTTTATCACACCCGAACTTGATCCAATGCCCCGAATCGACGCTCCTAAAACATATGCAAGGCGGAGCACAATCTAACAAATGCAGTAATGTAGTATGAACACAACAAAAGTGAGACAATTAATAATACTTCTACATGCTATCCCACAAAGTTTCAAACCCCCCACTTAATGGGAGAAATGCTTGTTGTTGTTGTTATCATTGTATGCTATGACACAAATTGCAATAAGGATGGAGAACTTAAATAGCCAAAACAAAGCATAACCACTTTGAAACAAAATTATAACTTTTGATGGAGCACAAAACTGACGCCTAACCATTTAAAAAAACCATCACAAAAAGCACCTAAGTGCTACATTCACCAAGTTGACAAGTACCTCTAGTTTAAGCTTAAAAACCTCAACACTTTGTCACCTGTTTTTGGTTTATATGGGTAATAGAAAGATTAATAAATCTATATATTATTGTATATTATTCTCATCTTTAAATCTGAATCATCCGATTGAGTCATTCATACTTGATTAACATTGATAACCACATAAGTTCTTACCTTGGGAATGAGCACCATGAAAAAATAGCTATTAATTGCTTGCATTATAACATAACGTTCTAATTGTAAGTGCTAGTCATCTTATGCTATCAATCATGAACAGGTTTCATTTTTTTTTTTGTCATGTATATGCATTTCATGTGGCATGTATATGCATTTCATGTGGACATATTTTAATTATCAGCATTTTAGGATACAGGCCACATATTTAAGAGATTTTAAAAGCTTAAGAAATCAATTTTTCCTGTTCAAATATGGAACGCAACTACAATTGCTACAGCCAACAGTAGGTTTCCTGAAAATAGTTTACAGTTGCTTCGTTCCATTGAACTGCATTTCAACCATTCTATGATCGTATTTTAATGAAACAGCAAGTATTCATAATCTAGAAAAATGTTTAGTTGAATTTCAAATAACAGCTCATGCTACACCTTAAATTCTTAAACACTCCATCATATGATGTGAAAAAAAAATGAGATCAAGGCAGCCACTTAGCTTTAGAAAATGAAGCATTACAATTCACTCTAAGCCCAACTTACTATTAGACAATCACCCAATTTACAGCCCTTCAGACATTCTAAATAATTCACACGCTTCTTTCTTAAGCCGAAAGAACTAGAAATATGACATCAACTCATAGGCTGACCCAAATTTTGGTTTGCTTACGAAATCCACACTTAATTTCATGCTAGTATTTCTGCACCTCCTCCATGACTACATGATCGTGAAGAATGCCCTTTCAAAGATGTTGTTGTAGACTATAACGGGAATAAGGAGTAGGCACTAAGACAGGGTTCAGTTTGCAGAACAAAGATTAAAATACAGTTGAAGCTTTAGATTATGCCTAGCCTTATTTTGTAAATCTTTGTAACTAGAAATTGGAATAAGAAATGGCAAAATGTATTATGTAAGAAAACAAAATATCCTAAAATTATATGCAGACAGTCATTTTCTAACAAGTAAACCAAGGAAAGCCTTGTCAAAGCCCGCAAGTAATCAAATCCTTCCAGCAACTGCTGTCAACAAAGCTTTCCTAGAAGTATGTGGATAACTAATGTTATGCACTTGTGATTTTCCAGGAATAGAAAGCAGCTCAGCACACATTTTAGAAACTACAATGAGCTTCTGCCCATGCATCCTGCTAAAAATAGTGTTTTTCGCAAAAAAAAAAATGTAGTTAAAAAATCAATAAGACCAATTATAGCAACAAATTACCATTATTTGTAAACAAAAAAATCAAGAGAGCAAAGAATTCACTTTCTTCCAGTATGGGAACCTTGAAATCTTCATATCCTTCTGTCATCCCTATATCTTTGTACCAGATGTGACAACAACTCGACCAAATGCTTACACATAGATGGTGCAGAATTTATTACTTGGCTGGAAAAAATTACACTTTTCAAAGAAATGAAAGCATTTTGGATTTTTAAAAATTTGCTCCATCTTTTTTGTTTTTTTTTTCGTAGCAGTGGTAGTTTAAGTTAAGTGCAGGGTATTAACTAAAAATGGGTGATATGTCAATCCGAGAGCTTTTTTAGCTTTGAATGTAAAAATCATAAATTATATTCATAGTAAAATACTGGTGTTGCCACCACAATAAGAAAATAGGTAGATGGATCTAAATCCTGTTTGAAGGCACAGCCTGTCACATTTACATTTCTAATAGCATAAGGTAGTCAATTAGTTTCTTGAGGCCCCATGTTTGATAGTTTCAAGTTCCAAATGATCAAATTCAGAATAATTATAAGAAAATGCGTACATGGCAGTCAGTTAACAGGCATTATACCACGTACAAAAATAAATAAAAACAAAAAATACTCATTCTTACCTGATCATGCTCCTCATGATTCCCGTTTTCTGCAATACTCCCTAATTACACAAGAAAAAAAAAATAAAAAAGATTTCAATCCGGGTTCAAACAAGCAGTTAAACTCGTACAGATTAACAAACAATCACGGGAAATAGTAACATGGACAAGAACATCCTACAATCATTTAATCCAGCAAGGGCCATCAACCGAACGGCAACATCACGCTCCTCGGCGTCTTGAAGAGCCCTAGCATATGCCTCATCGTTGTCAAAATCTTCCGGGTTAATGCCACTATCATTGGCATCGAAAGCATCCTCCCCATAATCACTCCCTTCCACACTACCCTGTTCATCATAAGGCTCCTCCTGGTCCCCATCCAATTCTTCTTCATCGTCTTCATAGCTCCCGCCATCCGAGCTCGCATAATCACTTCCATCACCACCGTTCATCCTCAGCATCATGTACGCCCTTTCCTGACCCAATTCAAGAACAGCCTTAAATCATCAAAACCCTATCTCTATCACCTTGCACGCAAAATCATGAAAATAGCATATATAATCGGAATCGCTTACCTGCTCTTGAAGAGCCCGAGCGAGTGCAAGGTCAGCGTCGACCTGGCTCAGGCTGGTGAAGGGCGTTCTGCTAGGCACACGAGGTGCCATCTCGGGCGTAGATCCCCCATCGTTCGAAGCAATGGAGTTGAGGCTAGTGTTAGAACTAGGGTTTTCACTGACAGCTTTATCAGTGGCACCGCTGGTCTCCTTCTCATCCGCCATATCGAGAGGAAGAGAGAAGAAAAACGGTGAGCCACAGCTGAAGGGTTAGACGACGGCAGTAATAAATCAAAGGAGCGGCTGATGAACGAAGAAATTTAAAAAAATAAAAATAAAAATAAAAAAGATTTACATTAATACCCTTTAAGTCCTATGTATTTACATATCTAACATTAAAACTTCAATATTTACTCTTATGCCATCGTATTTATAGGTGAACAAGAATATTCCATTTTCTTAATTTAAATAATAATATTTTTAATGTGATGTGAAAATTTTGAGTTTTTTTAAATATAAAAAAAGAAGATGTTAGATGTGCAAATACATAGGAATTGGGTAAATGCAAAAATATTAGAACAATTTTATTGCACAGTGAGTTTCTGCAATATATAAAATTGTTTGGATTTATTTATTTCTTTTTTATAACTTCCTTATTATTAAATGTTAAATGTATATAAATTATGAGCGGGCAATGTGGGTTTTCTTTAAAGGTATATCAATATGTTGGATTCGGGATTATCTTTTGTGAACGAGCCTCGAGAGTTAGAGTCTAGTTAAAGAGAGAAAAAAGTAAATCAAGAGTTATTTTAGAGGAAATCGGGCTAGTCTTATTATTCATATTCTTGTCTTCTATTTATATGAACGTATTTTGCACAATTACATGTATGAGAGAAAAGTTATGAAAATGTTCTTAATATGATCGATGCTTTAATAAACTGTATGGATTTCATTTTATATCAGTATTACAATTTTAATTTTGATACATCGGTAATTGGTGGATTGACTTGCTAGAATTCAGTCAACTGAGGCCTTCGGTCGAATGAAGATCTCGTCTGCTCTGACAAAAGTGTGTCAATCGTTCAATCGCGATCAAAGGGTTTATGCATGCACTTTGGTCAGTCGGTTGATCGACTGATGAGTCGAATTGTTTTGTCTAGTGAATCATGGCTCACTTTTTTTTTTTGCTTAAGCCTTTGCGAAGCTTGCGTCTCGTTTACCTGGTCGGTTTGTCCATCGATCGGATACCCCTATTTTGTAAGGTCTTATGCAAATCTTGTCTTGCCTGTGTGGGGTATCCGACAAGACTTATTGCTATGATGAATTGTGTCTCACCCTTGTCGGATATTGTCGTTATCTGGCGGGGGACTATCTCAAGCTCTTTGACATGTCTTCCGTTTAGAGATGCTACTTCACCTACTTGGCTTTGACTTATTGGTCAACAATTTATCCTTGAGGTAATTTTTTTTGGTCGTTCATTCTCTATGATATTCGTGTCGATAGTTCTAGCGTATACACAATAGATAATAGACTTAAATTTACGGTATATGTTTCTTTAGATAAGCTATAAAATATATTTTGTAATAAATTTGGTGAAAGCGTATTTGGTGAAAGCATGTTATTTTAATTTTTCAATTTATTTAATTTAAATACTTAGAGTATGTTTTAAATTGATATTGACATGGTCATATTAAATTTGTTTAATTTATTTTAATAATTATATTTAATTTATATTTGATTTATTTAAATTATTTGAACATGCATTTAATGAGTTAATAAACAAATTAAACTTTAAAATAATATTTTCATTTAAATTTATTAATAAATAATTTCATAAATATAACCAAACAAGCAAATTAATTATTTTTTTTTTTGTTGAATAAATAAGATAATCTATAAATTGTAAGTAATTGTCTTTCTAATCAAACAATATAAATATGTATTAATAAATTAAATGATTTAAATAAAAAAAATAATGAACTATATTTACTTAATATGTGTATTCAAATAAGACAAATAAATTATTTAAAAAAAAGATAAAGAAAATTATGAATATTTACCTCCAAAAAAAACATTTTATATGAAACAAGCAAATTGTGGGCCGCGAGAGAGCAAAAGGATTAAATATTTAAAATACAATATAATTAATGTGTACATAATAGATAAATATTATATATTAATTAATTATATGATGCTTTGGACATGGAGAAAGATAATAGATTAATTAATAAATTAGGTTAATTAATAAGTAAATATTAATAACAAATATGTGATTAATAATTAATCTTAGAATATTATTATATTAAATTGGATCACAACACTATTAAATATATAATTAAATTTAATTTAATTAAATTTATTTAAATCATATATAATTTCTGATATGAGTTAGCATTGAGCTTAATATGAAACATTTAACAAATTTTATTTTGAACAAGGAATGAGTTTACTCGTGAACATTTAAAGAAAAAAACGAACCTAATTGTATTCAAATTTGGTTCATTTAACTTTTGAATTTTAAAAAAATGTCTAAACTTATTAGTTTGAACAAGCTTGATAGCGTATTAATCGAACTAAGTGTGAGTTGTTCGTTGAGAACACTAGTTCACTTACAACAATGCAACCACTTGTACAATATCGGTTGGATCGGCGAAGACTTTCTCATTTTTAAATAATATTATTGATACGTCTCTAGGAAATCATATTGATTCACACTAATCTCATCGCACATTTGAATGTGAAGCTTTAAAATTTTAATTTGGAAATGACCACACTCCAAATTATGATTAAGACAAACCAAATGACATAAAAAATAAGCTGATCTAAATCTAAATGAGTCCAGTTCATACGCTTCAAACATAAAGAGAAGCTTTGGAATAAACTTTGAGGATCAAATGATCCCCAAATCTAACAAGGTTGCCATCAAACGGAGCTTCAAGGCTAAATGAATCAAACAATCCTAAGATCACTTAATTCTAACAATATTAAGACATTCAAATACTCATAAAATTATATATGATTAAGAAAATTATTGTCGGTCATTCAATGGAGTGGGTCAGATTCATGCAATATTTATAGGAGACCTCACACTCAAAATCTATAAATAGGTCCCACTCTCCTCAAGTAGGGCAGGGTCAGGCCACCACTGTCTGGCTGTTGTCGTCGTCGGGTCACCGTTATTCGGCCAACACCATAGCCACCGAACCACCGCTCCTCGACCACCATCATCGTCACCGTCAGACCACCGTCATATGACTACCGCCACCTCTGGGCTACCACTGTTTAGCTACCATTGTCATCGCCATCGTAGCATCGCCATCGAGTCCCGATAGTAGTCTAGTCGTCGGCGCAATTAGACTACCGTTGCTTGGCTACTACAATTGTTGTCTTCAGAACACCACTGTTCAACAACCACATTTGTTGTCGTTGGACCACTAGCGTCTAGCCATCGCTGTTGCGGGCAAACCTCTATTGTTAGGCCACCATCGTCTTCGTCGTAGGAGCACCACCGTCATGATATTGCTACTGAAGAAGCTAGCATCATAATATTTAGCTCGCGATATTTACCGTTGGTATTCCTTCACAACAGTCAGGTTGAGCTGCTCGAGTCACCTTCGGCTTGAGCTTGACCTGATTATTTTTATCGAGTTTGAGCTTAAATCTACGAGTTTGAGCTCACAAGCCGGCTTGCTCAATATAAAAGAGAGAAAATAAAATTAATTTATGAGCGGTGTAATAAAATGACAAATATAATAAACAATTGAAAGAGAAATTGAAAAAAAAAAAAAAACTTAATATAAAATATAAAATATTATATTTTTAATACTTTTAAAGGTAAAAAATCTTAAAATTTAATATATTTTGAGTATATTTATATTAATGATTTTTTTAAACGAGTCAACCCATGAGCTAACAAGTCGACCCAGAGCTAGCTTGAGCTGGGCTTGTTAGCTCATCAAGTTCAATTCACGAGCTGCTTATCGAGCCGAGCTCGAGCCGACTCACTTGCACTCCTAAGTGAAAGTGACATTTATTAGCCCCACATATGTTATATTACTTTCAGCTTTTCAATAGCCGATAAGCTCTTGTAACATACATCGGTATAGTGAATCATTTCAACGGAGCCAGACTTCGCGGTTTTCACTCCTTTTGGGTTTCCACATAAGAACTCGTGTTGTTCCCTGTATTGTGTGGGTGCAAGATTTACGTACAACACTAAAATATTAATACATCACTATACCACCGTGAATTTACCAATTCACAACAATTAAACTTCGAAGGATTAATCCCAACATCCCTTTATTGAAATTTTTCATATAAAGTGATCAGAAAATGACAACGGCAAAAGTTGAACCTGACGAATTAGCTTAGCATTGATTTTAACGGTCATGATGTATTTTTTTAATATTTGAGTGCATTTTATCATACGAATCCAAATGATTGCATAATATCTTAATGTTGTGTTGAAATATTTACATATCTAGCACACATTTCATATGTATTTACATATCCCTCACCTAAACTTTCTTGTTCGCATACAACATCACCCTAATGCTTTAAACCTATACGTAAAAGATGTATTGATATTTATTTTTTTGCGATATTAAAGATTTGAGTGATATGCGTATAAATATAAAAGTTTAGACGTGCGATATGTTAATACGTAAGAATTACGTGTTACGTATGCAAATGCTCCTTAAATGTTTGCTCCCTTTATACTCAGTTAAAATAATTTACGCAAACATTGTTTGAATCATATGATGTTAGAACATATTCTATTAATATGTTTACTTGAATCATATTTGAACAGTATTTGATCAAATGTTAGAGTTTGTTTAATGTTTGAGATGTTTTGCTCTTATCAATGACTTGACAAATTAATAATCAAAATTTATCCAATGATGTTGTAGGGTTAAAACACAAAGATTTACTATTAAAAAATATAGTTTATTATTAGATAGAAAATTTAATTTTTCTTGATAAATAGTATGTCATCATTTGCTTTATTCGTACTATTTTGAAAAGCGTATCATAGAGTTAATACATATAGTATTGTATTGAATGTTACAACGAAGTTTAAATCTAATAGTTGTCATGAAAAATAACATTTGGATTTCAATGAATAGTTCGTATATATCAACACTTTGACAAATTCCTGATAAAAAGTCAACTGTTGTTGTTTAATTATCTATTGATAAAGTTGACTTTAATATTTTGGGAACTAATTCAACTTGATAATAAATGTTTTTTAGCATGTTCTTTTCTATCAAGTAAGCAATTTGTTAGAGTTT